CCACCTCTGGCGGGTGTGCCATAGGTTTCACCATCACGGATGTAGACTATTTAGCTGTGACAATGTCACATTGCTCAGGGTGCACCACAAAGAGGCTAGTCTACATTGTACCCCAGTGTTGTGACCTTTTGATATTATGTCAGGAGCACTGCTTAGTATACAGAATAATTGTACTTGGGGTTACCTCAAATTGGCAAATCATACATTTCTGCTGCCTTTAAAATGATTTGCACTACAATTCCTATAACTTCTAAACATTGGTCATATTGTTTGAGGGCTTATGAGTTTGTAGCTTAAAAATATCTCTATTCCTGTTCTAAACAAAATATTTGTCAATGTTAGTAGACTCTTATTTTAGAAATGCCTTGCTAGAAACAAAGTTGTTGGTGATGATGACTTTTAAATACACCAGAAACTTCTATAGGAACTGATAGGGTGCTAGACAATAAAAGATAGGAAAATTATAGAGTATCAAAATGAACATGGAGAAACCACAAATTTTAAACAATATATTCTGTAGGAGGTAGCCAGTGTAATACTAGTTTTGGAAAATCTGAGGTGTGATGGCAGTGCTGGTGAAAACTATTAGAAAAACAAAAGACAGTAGAAAAGCAATATTGTGGGGAAAAGTCATCTTTGTTAATGCAAGAACAGAATTATATTCTCTTATTTATTGCTAATGAAATTATGATTGCAAATGCTATATATAGTTAGCATCAGTCCATCTGTGCTGTATCACTCTTCATTTCACAATGTTTCACTCCAGTGTAACTCATTATTTTATTTTGACATTAATTTGCTTGTTGCTACCTCTTCTGATCAGGGGCAAAAATATGCAATATTTGACCAGTGACCAGGAAAAATTAAAACTCACATGTGGCTTCAGATTTCATCTTTCATAGCTGCTTCCACTAAACTGTACTCATTGTCCTGAAGGACTGTTATCTGGGGTAGGAGCAGGAAGGGGAGGGAAAGCTGTTCCTCTCTCTTGATTTGTCACAGGAAGAGAATCTCGGCTCAAGTAGAGTGAATATAAAGTTATTACCTGAGTCAAACAGTCTCAGAACTAATAAGGATCCAAATCATAAAGGGCTACACAGGTTATAACCAGGAGGACCTTGAGCTGGATCTGGAAGTATATTGGAAACTGGTATGGGTTGCTTCCGGTTCAGATCGGATCGGGCAAACCAGTAGTGGTGGTGGGAGGCTCTGCCCACCAACCCGGACGCTTCTGCACATGTGCAGAAGCAGTGAGCATGAGCGAACCAGTAGCGCCAGGATTTGCAACCCACCTCTGGTGTAAGCTATTACAGACATGACATTGTTCCACTGTACTGGCCAGGCAGTGGCATTCTGGACTAATTGAACCTACCAGATTGCCTTTCAAGGACAGTACCATAAAGAGAGATACACACTCCAAACACAGTGGAATAATGTCATGTCTGTAGTAGCTTACACCAGAGGTGGGTTGCAAATCCTGGCACTACTGGTTCGCTCATGCTCACTGCTTCTGCACATGTGCAGAAGCATCCGGGTGGGTGGGCAGAGCCTCCCGCCGCCACTACTGGTTTGCCCGATCCGATCTGAACTGGAAGGTTACAAGGACAGGAGTTATTGTTGCCAGTAACTCCTGATGCAAAAGGGTCAGAGCTGGCCCTCAGATTCAGCTGGGCAAATAACATCTTGGCCACATTTTCCATCTGCAGTACTAGCAGGACCTGCAAGATTAAAATAGCCCTCAGTGCAATCCCACACAGAGCTACAGTCAGAGGGATTATAGAATCTGATGATTTCTGAACAGTTGTTCCATCTTGTTTCTTTTTCTATGGCTTATCTTATTATTCAGTATCTGAACAAGGGAGGAAGGAGAGAATGGGCTACACCCCCCCCCCCAAAATCTATTTTGTTGGCTTTGTCCTGCCTACTGAAGTTTGACTAAAATGAGCTATCCACAGCTAACAAGAACGTCCCTTCCCTATTCTTGAGTGGATTAGTCCTCGATTTACAACAGTTCATTTAGTGACTATCCAAAGTTACAACAGCACTGAAAAAAGTGACCTGTGACCATTTTCCCCACTTATGTTGCAGCATTCCCATGGTCATGTGATCAAAATTCAAACATTTGGCAACTGACTCATATTTATGATAATTTATTATGGTTCGGTATCCCAGAGTCACCTGATCATCTTTGGAGACCTTCTGACAAGCAGTCAATCGGGAAGCCAGATTCACTTAACAACCATCTTACTAACCTAACCATTGTAGTGATTCACTGAACAAATGTTTCCTTAGCAACATAAATTGGGGCTCAATCATGGTTGCCAGTTGAGGACTACCTGTATTATCACTGTCTGTCTATCTTCTTATTTGTCTCATCTACCTTCTTATCTTCGTTTCTACCCCCTCTTATTGGTGGTATTATTGTTGTTGTTGTTGTGTTGCTTTGTATGTACACTGAGTGGTTCTGCACCAGAGACAAATTCCTTGTGTTTTTAATCACACTTCACTAAACAAAGTATTCTATTTTGTTCTGTTCTGCTTTGCTCTATTCCATTCCGTTCCAGTATATTCTATATGTCATATAAATCTAAAAGTATTTTTGGGACTGAAATAAAATTATTTTGATTGATTTGAAATGGGACTCCTCTGAAATGATTAATTATTATAGGGACTTTTTTTGTATTTTTAAAAATAGTATTTTATGGGTCCTGACCTTGTTACCTTTTTATCTTACCTGATTATCTTTCTACCAATTCTGCTGTTTGATTTTAAAGTTGGAACATTTTTAGTAATGTGTTTATATAAAGCATTTTATTATTTTTGGTACCTTTAAAGAATGAGCAGCTGTTTTGTAACTTGTTAATTAATCCTTATAAAAGTATTATGGTACAGCTGCTACTTTATTCTAATGTTATATTCCAGGGTAAGTAGTTTATTCTTATAATCTCGAAATCTCTAGTCTAATCTAACCATCCATTTAGCTAGTTTGGTTTAAAGGAAAATACGTCACATTAATGTTGCAATTTATTACAGTTTAAAATCAAATGTCAGATAAACCTCTGGAAATTAATAAGCTTTCAGCTTATGAAATATTCATACTATTCTAAAGAATGGTTTTTGTGGGCAATAACTATGGTCTTTGTTAGTATAAACAATATTAAACATTTACTCTTCTTAATTTATATTATAACTTTTATTTTTATCTTGTATTACTACAAAAGGCACCAAGACAATGTAACAATGATTTTACAGAGGTAATTTTCTGCATATAGGAAATGTGGCTTTCATGCTTTCTGTAATAGAGTCTTGAAAGTAGCCAGGTTATTTGCTCGTATAAGCCATTTCACATGGCCAGATTTCTCTGGTACTTCTGAAAGCCATCTTGGGAATCCTACAGCTCTCCGCAGTCAGGAAAGGGAGATTGGCATCTCAGCTAAAATGGAAAAGGATAGCCTTGGCCATTTATGGTAGGAGGAAAAAATCAGGAGGAGTCTGGTAGCAGTTTTTTCAATAACAACAACAATAATAAAGGGTAAACTGCAGCTCACAAAAGCTTATGCCTTTTAGTAAAAGTTGTTACTTGGAAAAAGTACCACTGGCTTCCTCCTGATTTCTGAATTATATCAGAGGGACTTGCAGTATTTCTATTCAGATGTTTAGGCAGTCGTCCATGTTTTCTCCACTGGGCCATCAGAAAGAGTAAGTCCCCTTCTGCCCCAGTCCTGGGATTTTTAAATGCATTTTTATAATTTTGGAAGGCTTGTTTTCTCCAAAACATGGTTATAATTTTGTCTGTGTTTGTATGTCTGATACTCTTTTGACTATGTAAATAACATAATCCATTTGACTACATAAATCATATAATTTGTTTCCGTATACCGGAATACCAAAGCAAGCTGTATCGGTTGCAATTCTCATTAGCTTGCCATATCTTCCCACAGAATACTCTATTCCTGGGTTTTTCTTTCTTTTTTTCCTTCTAACAGCCGGTATGTTGTGGCTATTAAATAGACAAGCCTCAATTGACTCTGAATTGGGGAACGAAGAAGCTAATGCTTTTTAAAAAAAATAAACACTATATATCATACACTAATAGAAATCTCAGGTTATCCATAAATTTGAGATAGATGAGGATAGAGTAAAGATTTGCTGTTTAAAGAAAAATACTGAAAGATCACATTCCTCATAAAACGTTACAATGTACCTAAACAACTTCTTGAATTGGGTTATAGGATGAAAATCTCTATATTATTTTCAAAGAATAGTTAAACATTCAGTGACTGCTTAGCATTACTTTTCATGCTTACATTTTAAAACCAAATAATACATTTTAAGACACTGCATTGTGAAAACTAAAGTTTACCAAACAAATTCTTTTTTCGCAGTTGATCAAATTATGATGCATAATAATGTGCAGTACAGAATAAAATACATTGCTATAGAACACCTCCAAATATTAGCATTTATTTCCTACCACAGCAACGGTTAATAGCAAACAATTTTTTACTTTAACTTAATAGCAGGATCAAATCCCTTCCTGAAGTAATATATAGCCTAGAATAAGATTGTCACATTTGTGTTCCTTTGTGTATTGAAGAATTAACAAGTCACTAATCCTGATTTGGGTTCTACATTTTAGTGCAAAAATGACCCCGCATTTTCAGGATGATATTGGGTCCAATATGACAAAATACTCTTTTATACTAAGAATTTCTGATTATAGTCCAAAGTTACACAGCATAGACACACGATTAGCATCTCAGTAAGAACAGTCACTGCAGCCTTCAATATTTGCTGTTCTATAGCTATGTTGTACTAGAATAGTGTTACTTATAATTATAATTATGTGGTATTTCTTTTCTGTGTTGATTAGTAACATGCATTAGCATTTGCTCTCTCCCTTTACAATTTAGTTGTAATATTCAAGGACATTGATCTGTCAATACATTCATGCCTTGACCTTTTTTTTCATTTATTGTGTTCTTACTTTTAATGCATAGGTGCCTTGACCCAAGCCATTCGCAATTTTGCAAAAAGCCTTGAAGGTTGGCTTTCCAATGCCATGAACAATATTCCCCAGAGAATGATTCAAACCAAGGTAAGCTAAAGAGTTACTCTTGCTTTCAAAATAATTTGCAACAAAAAGGTATTACAAATAATAATAATTCAACATTACCTCCTCTGTTTCGTTTATAAAAAAGACACTACAAAAGAACCATTTTTTAAAATTGCATAGAATCTGCTTTTGATTTTATATTGCCAGTCTATACTGTTCTTCAAATTTTGCTGTAGAAAGTTCATCTACTCATATCTAAATCACCAATTCCCAGTTTGTGGTCCACATGAGGCCTCCCCCAGATGGTTCATGTGAAAGAAATAATGTACTAATATAATTTTTCCACTAAATGTAGTGTGATATATGTAATATATTTGCATAATAAACATTAAAAATACAGTAATACCCCTGGTTAGCAGACTGCTTTCAGAAAGGGGATTTTTAAAACTCTTCATTATACCTGAATCTATCTAATTAACAATTTGCATAATTTGTCATAAATTGTTCAGATGGATTTGCCAAACAAGAGATTTTTCCATTATTTGAGGGAGAAATTCAAACTGAGATTTTGTCTCTTACATGTGAATATGGAGATTCTCAGTCATCCAGGTCATGGTTGTCCCCAAAGTGCTTTTTCAAAAGACAACTAGACTTTGTTTTTTTTCTTGAAGACATTTCGCTTCTCATCTAAGAAGCTTCTTCAGTTCTTCTTAAGAAGTGAAAAAGCTGCTTGGATGAGAAACGCAATGTCTTCAAGAAAAAAACCAAAGTCCAGTTGCTTTTTGAAAAAGCAAATTTGGGACTTGCATGTGAATGCAAGACCATAAAATCAAAGGTTTATTGTAGTTGCTCTTGTAATATACAGTTTTATTCTAATCAACCAAAGAATATGTGAAAAAAGGTACCATATTTTTCCATCTATAAGACACCCCCATGTTTCATGTAGTTTCTTGTAGTAACCACACTATAAGCCATCACTGTGAAGTCGCCATCTTGTTAGAATGAGAACTACAACAAGAACAGGAAATACATCACAGGAACAATAGAGATGAAACCTAGCGTGTCAATGTGATATAGGAAACAACTACAATAGAGAGGAATGATAGAGCTGCATATAAGATAGAGGCTCATCTAGCATATGTGGCCTTCTCCTGGGCTCCAGTGTATAAGACACACCTCAATTTTCAAGTAAATGTTTTAAAGAAAAGGAGTGTCTTATACATGGAAAAATATGGTATTTTAAACTACTTCCTCAAGTGGTGATCTAACTGGTAAAAGCTTTTGATGTTGCTGTAGTAGTCTTTGAGGAGAGATTTGCCTATCTAACAAATATTTACTGAAGAATTCTAGATGGCATAAATGCCATATTCTTTAGATTCTTTATATTTCATAGCAAACTGGTACAATTGTGTACCACAATATCCTAAGATGTTGTTTCCTTTGTATGCTTGGGTGTGGAGGATAGCCAGGGATTCAGTGCAGGGAAGATATTGTTGTGGATATTGTTTTTATTTAACTTGCTTTATTAACATTATTGTTATCATGTGTGCACACATCTCCAAAAATCATATTCTTATCAGATATCTTTGTAAGGCAATATTGGAATGTTTGGGTATAAAGTGTATTTCTCAAAAAACATGATTTATTTTTAAAAGTTGCTATAACCAGCACTAGCCTTAAAAGAGAATAGGAGTCTCAGGCCTTTTTCTTCATTTTTCGCAGGTTGCCGCTGTAAGTGCCTTTGCTCAGACTCTGCGAAGATACACATCTCTTAATCATCTGGCTCAGGCAGCCCGAGCTGTCTTGCAAAACACTTCTCAGATTAACCAGATGCTCAATGACCTCAACCGTGTTGATTTTGCCAATGTCCAGGTATGACATGACATGGATGCTTTGTTTGTAATTCTTTGGTCCAGTCATTAAGGCATCAGGCTAGAAAGCAAGAGACTGGGAGTTCTAGTCCCACCTTATGCATGAAAGACAGCCAGGTAATTTTGGGCCAGTCATTATTCTCAGTCCCCACAGGGTTGTTGTTGTTTTTGAGAAAATAGGGGGAGGAAGGAGATATGTTTGCTGTCTAGAGTTATTTATAAACAATAATAAAAGTGGGATTAAAAAAACCTAATATAAATTTTAAAATTTAAAAATCCCTCCTTGCATTTGAATTTTAAAGATGCCAGCAAAATTTCAGTCTAGGGGAAACCTGCCACAGTAATCTTTTGTTTCTGCGAGAAAATATTCATGAGAGATTTCTGTAACTCATTCTCTCCCCCTCCCCCCAACTATTCTGCTTTTCACCTATTGACTTGTAGACAATGAAGGGTATTTCTTAACACCCATGTTAATATATCTGTGACTTATATTTATCTATATCTGCCAAAGCTTTAAGGAAATGTTTAGCAGCCCATTTGAAATGATCCATTTTTTAAAATGCAACCCATCCACTAAAACATTCCAATGTCCAGCAGTTCCATTTCTCCTCTTCTTTGGCTGTTCCACCTTTGAAACCTTTTTCAATCTTTTCCAAATCAACAGAATGTTGGGAAAGCATTATGTGAAGGAGAGCTTGTAATAGGATCTGCAAGTCAAATGATTTAATAAAAAGTAAACAAATTTAGATCAGGTTTAGTGTATGGAAAGAAGTGGCTGGAAAAAAATCAAATCTGAAAAATGAATAAGATTGAGAGCTGGGATCTGTTGAGAAAACAATTCCAGTGGGGGAAAAAATCCATCCTTGCATCCCTATGGGATAGGTAATTGAGCTTGGAATGCTGTTTTGTTCTAAACCAGGGATGGGGAACTATGGCAACTTTAATACCTGTGGACTTCAAATCCATAGCTCAAAAGTTGCCATAGTTGCCCATCTCTGTTCTAAGCCATCTTTGTCTTTTCAAATCACATCACCTCAAGCGGAGGAGATAAAACCTATCCAGAGTTTCCTAGTACACAGATGAACACAAGCATGCACACAGACAATGCACAATGGGAGAGCAATAACATGCAGAGGGTTATTTTATTATCTGGATGAAAATGCAGATGTCCTCTATCCCTTGATTTGTTCACTGAGTACTTATTCTTCCCTCTTTTTTTTTACTCATTGTTTTCCCTTCTAGGTGCCTTTAACTTACATTTTAATCAGACACTTGAAGATCCTCTGTTAAACTTTTTTTTGAATTGGTACAGGAGCAGGCTTCCTGGGTGTGCCAGTGTGATGACAACATGGTACAACGGTTAGAAACAGATTTCAAGATGACTCTTCAGCAGCAGAGCACTCTGGAGCAGTGGGCTGCCTGGCTTGACAATGTAATGATGCAAGCACTGAAACCATATGAAGGAAGACCTAGTTTTCCTAAAGCAGCACGCCAATTTCTGTTAAAGTGGTCTTTCTACAGGTGAGTGCCCTGAGTAAAGAGGTTATATTTTGTCTCAGTCCAGTAGGGTAGGGCAGTGCTTTGAGTTCAAAGGCCAAAAGGTGCTCTGAAATGCATAGAAATGGGCATGTAGCACCTGTTTGCCATGTCTTTAAACATTTCTTTTGTCAGAATCACGCAGCAGGTATGCAGTCTCAAGAAAAGACACAGCTGCTTTAAAGTAACACAGAAATACAATGTGCTTTTGAATGTATACCAACTGGATCATAGCTCTCAGCCATGAGTGATAATAGATGAGGCTGTATATCTTTGTTAATTTATCATATCCCTAGTAAAAGCAGTATTGGGTTGGGAGGGAAAGTCGTGTCAATAAGCAGCAGTGGAGCTTGGATTTATGCATTCTTCCTTCCACTCCTTTCTTTTCTAATTAAACCTTAGTGAGAATATATTTTCATCCTGTTCTTTGCTTAAAGTAACCCATTTCTATTGCCTCCAAAGTAAGAAGAAAGAAAGTAGGTGAAGACCACCCTAGAAGCCTGCTTCAGCCAGTTTCTAATATCCTAACCTCAGGGGCTACTGCCACCGACAGAAAACATTTTAAGCATATTTTGAGTTTACAAATATAATTTGTTATGTTTTCATTTTATTTGTTGTTGCTTATAAGCCGAATTTGCATTCTAAAGGGAAAGGAGAGAAACAGATGCAGTCCACCACCAATAATAAGAATGCTACTTAAGTCCAGCTGTATATGATGAGCCATTTATATAATAATTTTTAAAGTGCTTCTAAATGTAATGCCTAAATAAGAGATGGATAATCAAGAGGTCACATGGGGCTCTTCTCCTTAGGACAAGGGTGGGCAACTATGGCAACCACCTTGGCTCAAGAATTCTGGGAGTTGAAGTCCACAGGTAGCAAAGTTGCCATAGTTTCCTCCCCTAGATCAGTGGTCTCCAACCTTGGCAACATTAAGACTTGTGGACTTCAACTCCCAGAGTTCCTCAGCCAGCAAAGCTGGCTGAGGAACTCTGGGAGTTGAAGTCCACAAGTCTTAATGTTGCCAAGGTTGGAGACCACTGCCCTAGATTCACATAGATCTTAGTCACGTTTAAAAGCCATTTAGGGAAATTAGTTTATACTTCTGGCAAGAGTTATCTAAATCTTGAGACAGAGAAAAAGGGGAGATGGAAAAGAAAAGGATGACCCTGCCTACAACTTGCTTTAGCTTGGCCAGTCTTCAGCATGTAGTATAACACCCCTTTCTTTCCTGACAAGAAAATTAACTTTACTTTTTAAAAAACCATTGTCCTCTCCTGGCTTAAATAATGTAATCATTAGAATTATGTTAGATGTGTCAGAAATTTCTGGCATATTTATTGGATGATAATGTGTTTCATTTGTATTTTCATCTTAATATAGCTCAATGGTGATTCGAGATTTAACTCTACGCAGTGCTGCTAGCTTTGGTTCTTTTCATCTGATCCGTCTGTTATATGATGAATATATGTTTTACTTAGTTGAACATCGAGTTGCTCAAGCCACAGGAGAGACACCTATTGCAGTCATGGGAGAGGTCAGTCTACAGTTGGAATCCTTTACCAGATAATTTAACATCAAAAAGTAGTAATTATCTCATTAAGTTATACTTAATTAAGTAAATGTGTTTTCTAGGAGGTAAATGTGGATCAGTTATAATTAAATTCCTTTCATCTGAGATTTAGATATAATGGATGTCATCAAGTTTCAGTTAAGCTGAATCTATACAAAGCTCATGCAGAAATTCATTTTCTTTTGTTTGTACATTCTGATTATATTTATTCACACTAAATACTGGATCAAGTATTTTGCAGTTACCTTTCAGATTCTGTGTAGATTTCTACAATCTTATGCTCATTTCTGAAATCTATGGTCCTTCTTTTTAAGTTTGTAATCTTCCTGAATTGCCAAATATTCAAACTTTTCTCCTTGGTTTTTTTACCAGCAGTTTGATACTCAAAAGAGAGTAAAAAATAATAATTAAACATATTGTCTTATATCCACATAAATAAACAACAAATAATAATATTTCATCCCTAGTAAAAAAAAATCTGTCACCCAATTGTCATTTTTTAATTGAAGATGATGTTTAGGTTTTTTATTTTTGTTACAACATAAACTTGTTTCAAGAGAACTTGGGAAAAGGTGATGGTTCCTTTTGGGAGCACAAAGTAATAATATATCTTATATATGAAGCATCAACACATTTGACTATGTTTAATCTTCCACAGACGTTAAGAATGTATAAATATCCTTTGTTCATATACTTCATTAATCTTGCTTTCTGAGTCAAAATGAAGAGTATGCATTATGAAAATAAATTCACCCTAGGAGCTATCCAGGCAGAAAGCCATTTTTTTATGTTCCCTTTTTTACATTTATCAGCACAAATGCAACATATATATATATATATATATATATGCAGGTCTTGGCGTATTCGGGTCTTTTCCCTTGTAAGATTGAATGTATCATGGCGATGTTTCGACAAGGTCCCACTCACCATCTTCAGGCTGGTGCCTTCGGCTTCATGCTTGTGCGAGCAAAGCGTGATCAGAGCTGCTGTCAGGACGCCACCACCAGACTCAAACCCAAATCCATCCCATAGACGAAATGCAACTACCATCCAGAAGCCAAACCACGGCATCACCAACTGCTGCCCCCACCCCTCTGACCCCCACACAAAGCAAACTGACACATGCCATGAACCTTACATGACCAGACTGCAAACCTGGAGCCAAACCAAAGCCCTGGATGTTACATCACAGCCATCTGTCCAGGACATTACATCACAGAACTCAGGAGGTTACAATACAAAGTCTCAGGATATTACAATGCAGCCAACTTCCCAGGATGTTGCAGCACAGAATTCAAGATATCAGTACACTAGAGCTCATGATGTCATCACACAGCCAAATACCCAGGTCGTTACAACACAAAAGACTAATGGGCATACAGCTAGTTCCTCAGCCACACAGGATGTTACGAAACAGCCAACTAATCTGCATACATCAACTCCATCAATTAATCAAGATGCAACAACACAGCCAACCAATCCACTTACAGCAACAAAGCCAGCACTCCACACGCCCCCACCAATATTTATAGAAAGATGACAGCTCCGATCATGCTTTGCTTGCAAAGCACTAAGCCAAAGGCACCAGCCTGAAGATGGCGAGTGGGACCTCGTCGAAACGTCGCCAAGATACTCTCAATCTTACAAGGGAAAAGACCCAAATACGCCAAGACCTGAAAATCTACGAAAATAAATATGAGGAGGGCATCACCCTCCTCCCTTACATCAAAGGCACCACAGATAAAATCAGCAAAATTCTCCACGAAAACAATATCGAGACAGCCTTCAACACTGACTAAAAAATAGCCAACATCTTAAGAAACCCCAAAGACAAAATCCAGCTAGAAAACTAAGGAGTCTATGAATTACCATGCAAAATCTGGCCTGCAACATACATAGGACAGACTAATAGGAGAATAAATGCATGCATTGCAGAACACAAGAACGCAGTAAGAAAAAAAGAAAACACTTCCACCCTTTTCCAGCACCTTAAAGCTACAGGAC